CATCATCCATTTTATTATTATTGTTATCATCAACATACAGTGTTTAGTTTTCCTCACGGGATATAATTTTTCAAATGCCATATATATATATATATATATATATATATATATATATATATATATATATAGGTTGTATTGTGTTCTCTGAGCTGGGTTGTTTAATCATGAAGCTTTCATCGTCTTTCTAGATGACATCATCAGCACTAACTTCAGTATGACGTGAACTGTCAATATCTTTCCGTCAGTGATTTAGTGGCTTGCTCTGACGATGTGGTCTCTGTTTGGTTGTTTCCTTCGACTGTTGTGTCATTGATTGTTTAGACTTTCCTGTTGGTTGCTCCTCTGCTTCACCTCTGATCTTTCTGTCATTTATCATTTTTCTTATTGGTTGATAGATCGGGTCTATGTCTATACATCCACTGATTGCTGACTGACCTGAATGCCAAGCTTCTAGGAATTCTCTGACATTCTTTGTGTTTCATCTGTCCAAAATTTCTATTTTGTCAAAATTGAATTCATGTCCATAGTTATCCACGTGCATTGAAATGAGTGACAAAATGTAGTGGCGTTTAATAGCTGATTGATGCTCATGTAGACGAAGGCGAAGAGGGCGGCCGCTTTGTCCAATGCAGTGTTGACTACAGTGATTGCAGTTGATTTTGTAAATGATATTCGGTTTGTCTTCTTTTTTGTTGCATCCTTTGGTCTGCATAATAGTGTTTGGAGGGAATTTGTTGGTTTATGAGCCACACCAATTCCAAGTGGTCTCAGTGCTGATGATGTCGTCTAGCAAGACGATGAAAGCTTCACGATTAAACAACCCAGCTCAGAGAACACAATACAACTAAGACCATCCACCTGAGCTACAAATATTCTTCTATATATATATATATATATATATATATATATATATATATATATATATATATACACGGTTGTACAGCTTGAAAATAAATTCATTGAAAAGTATCTTCGTTGAATATCTTGTCCTTGATGTTACAATGGGAATCATTAAATTATTTGAACACCAAACAATATATAATAATTATAATAGCGATAATAATACTGATAACGATAAAGATACTTTCGGTAATAGTTAAAGTATGAGTGATAACAAAATGGATTGTTTATTTTGTTATTTTTTGTAACATGCTAAGCCGGGATTACACATGTAGAAATACACCTTATACGATGAATAAAAAGTAACTTTAATGCATAACGGTTACACCCAATTTATCATCACTATATATTAAAAAACAGCACAAAATATAAACATACACATCGGACTAGTAAGATAAAATATGTATCTGAAAAATGTTCACCACCGTTCAAACTATCACTTATCCTATTCATATGTTGAATAAATGTTGTGAGGTATAAAAAAAAGTATGAATGCTCATCGGCACTTAAGAACGATTGATACATTTTAAGTAATATAAAACACCCATTTTGAACTTTACCGAAAAAATGTGACATGAAGTTTAACTCATTAAAGACATATGTTGGTCTAATAGTAGGTTACAACAGAAGTAATCAATGATATGACTTACAACATGAAAAACTTCAACCTCAAAATGTTACTCATCATGAAGGAAAAACCACTGAAAGCCTGAGAGTAATAGACAGCTGTTTCATCCTAGTTTAGGACTCCTCAACAGCGGGTACATCAACTCTATGATTGATGGATGAAGACTTGAACTGTTAGATTTCGACCACCTGAATAAATACACTTCACCTGTACTATTGTGTTAAACCCCAACAAAAATTATCACAATAATACGTCAGTACTTTACAACAAACAATACTACATTTCTAATAGTGTTCCTCCTCGTGCAATGAAGTAGAAATATGCCGATTAATTATTTCATAAGACATATGGTTTACATTTGAGTTAGATAAAAAAAAAACACTGCAACGATGGAGTTTATTTCGATTATTATTATTTGTCCCTTGGGTTCCTATTAGAACATAGAGCTTCAGTAGCACGTCTCCATTCCACTCTCTTCTCTTCAATCTTTTCAACCTGGCTCCAAGACTACCCACAAGCTCTCATTTATTCCTCACACCATCTCCTCCATGTCACCCTCAGCACCGACGCCCAACTCGTCGTTTCCCATCTGAGTTCCACTCGATGGCCCGGCCTGGCCTGACCTGGCCTGGTGCGTGATGTCCGCAAACGGTTTTCTCAGTGCATGCGTAATACATCCCCATCTCCACTTCCTTCCACTCCATATTTCTTCAGCGATAGCTTCTTGGTTGCTTCGTTCTCACACTTCCTTGTTGCTTATTCTCATCATTCTGATCATCTAAGCTTCAGTAACCAGCCAGAGTAGGCAGTTATTGATGAATGTCTGTAGTTTGTTGGAAATCTCTTTCGTAACGCGACAAGTCTCTCAACCATCACATAGAAGCACTGATTTGGCGTTCGTGTTGAAAATCCAAATCCTGTCCCACTATGCTGAGTGCAGATCTCAACACTGGTTTCAGGCTAATGAACGCCTGTCTTGCTGTATTTCCCATTCTGACTTCCACATCCTCGTCTGTGCCGCCACCTGTAGTTCAAACAGTGCTTCCTATATACGTGAAACAGGCTACTTCCCTTAAGTTTCTCCCGTTGATGCTGATTCGAGTTTGTTTTTCTTGGTTCTGTTGGTTGCGTATCTTCATCACCTCTGTCTTCTCTACGTTCACCTGAAAGAAGTCACATCTTCCTTCGATGGCCTCCTCTTCTGACAACTTGTTAGTTTCACCTGTAGATCTTCAAGTTGCTGCGACAATACATCAGACACAAGTCATCATTGGCGAAATCGAAGTCTTCTAGGTTCTTTTCCCCTGTCCAGCCAGCGTATCCTCCTATTCTCGCTCCCCACTGTTCGTTGCATGATCCAGTCGACCACAATCAGGAATATCATGGGTGATAGCAGACAACCTTGTTTCACTCCTGTCTTTACTTCAAAAGTATCACTCAGCTTCCCATTTTGAATTACTTCACATAAGGCATCTTCATATAGTTGTTGAATGAGGCTGATAAAGGTTTGTGGTATTCCGTAGTATTCAAGCAGCTTCCAAATTACCTCTCGGTCGACGCTGTCAAAGGCCTTCTCAAAGTCGATCAAGTTCAGGTAGAGTTGAGTTGACTGCCATTCTATACTCTCTTCTATGATGATGCAAAGCCTTACAATTTGGTCCACATATGATTTGTACTTCCTCAATCCAGCCAACCAGCCAGCCAGCCACTTCCGGTCGTAGTTTTCAATCCACTGCATCCTTTAGTCTCTCAAAGATGATGCGGATTAATATTTCGCTTGCTTCCCAGGGACAGGAGCATGATCCCACTCCAGTTCTTGCAAACACTCACGTCGCCCTTCTTCGGCAGTTTGACAAGGTAACCTCTCTTACAATCGCCAGGCACCTTACCTTCCTTCCACACCTTCTGAAATAGTGGTGTCAGCATGTCCGCTGTTGTCTCTGCATCTGTTCTCAGTGCTTCTAGCGAGATTCCATTTGGTCCTGCTGCTTTCCCGCATTTCAGTAGCTTTATAGTGCTCACGACTTCCACATTCGTTGGAGGATTTGTGATCACTGGTAGTTCTGTGGCTGAGCTGCAGTTAGTATTTCCAGACAAAGTGCAGGTATTGGTGGTGGCCGATTCAAGAGCCTTTTCAAGTGGTCGACTCATCGTTTCCTTTGTTTCTCTTCTTTCGTAACTATATTTCCTTCATCATCTTTTATTGGTTTCATCTGTGTGGATCTCTTCCCTTCCACATAGTAACCTGGTTATCTGATACAATGTTGTCAGGTCTCTGTCTCTCCTACCAGCAGCCTGTTCTGCTTCGCTTGCTAGTGTTTCGTAGAAGTGTCTTTTGTCTTTCCGTGCACTCTTCTTCACTTCTTTGTCCAGTGTAGTGTTTTATACATTGTACTCAGTTCCTCTTGTCGTTGTGCATCCTTGCACTGGTTTATTTTCTCCTTTACCATCCTGCTCTCCCTGCTCTATCAGCTTCCATGTATCCATTCCTTATCTTCTTTCTTCTTCCTTCCTAATACGGACATCACGCGTCAGGCCCTCAAGTGGAATCCCGATGGGAAGCGACAAGTTGGGCGTCGGTGCCGAGGGTTACATGGAGGAGATCGTGCAAGGACGAAATGAAAGCTTGTGGAAAGTGTTGGAGCTAGGTTCAAAAGATTTCAGAGAACAGAGCGCATCCTTTGTTCGTTTAGTATTCAGATTTTCAGGTAATATATATGCGATCATGCATCTTGAGAATGGGTGGCTGAAAAGAGTAACTCTTCCTCGAAAGTATTTAACTATAAGCCGTTAATGTAACACAGCCATTATGTACGTATTTTGGTGCATCAGGTTATTAACCAACCTAACTGCGTGACGGTTCATGATACTAGCCGAGTGACAAAACCGAAGTGGGTAAGCGTAGGCTTCAAATCCTTGACTTAAGTACTCAAACCGTCAGGTTACATTGTTACACTTCATATTCAGTTCCTATATTTGATTAAATGGCGTAACAATTTGATCATATGAAATAACTTCAGCTGATATATGTAACTGAAACGGAAGTCGTACAAGTTTCTATATTTTGACGGCTTAGTTATGATATTCAGGTAATGAAATTTACTTTTATGGCCAAATGCTTTATTCTACTTGTTGTGTTCATGAGAAATATACAAACGCTCATATCTCATTATTGTAGAGGTACAATCAGATTAATTCTTAGTTTCAAGGCGAATTTGCTGTTGTTTGCACACTAGGAATAACATGAATATCGAAAAGTGCACTAAATGAAGAAAAAAGAAGATATTGTGAAGATTAAATGTTACCAACTAACCTACTTTGAACAGCCTATGTTGATGGGCTAGATACTAATCGTAATCTTTTTCCTCTGAGTAGGCATATCAATATGAAAGTAGTATACTATTCATTAGATAAGATAAGAAAAGGGTAAAATAGAACACGTAGACTACACATAGTATAAAACAGTGCTTACATTTCAGTGTACCGTGTATATTGACCGGTAGAATAACAACCAAGCATAGAACTGTAGTTATTGCAGTATAAATGATCAAGTATGTATGGAATCTTAGATATTGAACAGCATCATTTCCTGCTTTAGATTTCATATCTGCAGACCTGTTGTAAAAGAAGATTGAAAGCCAACAAATAATTAATTCATGAAATAGAATTATACACAATAGTAACTCCTCATGCTTTATTCAAGTGTATTTCGCTAACCTCTAACAAGCTATCCTATCCATTCTAACAACAAAATAGAGGTAGAGTGTGGATAACACTCCCAAGTAAAACAATGAATCAGTGTGAGTAAAAGGTGTAACTTTAACGTAGCAACAATCTGTGGGTTGTGAGAATCACAACCTATGAAGCAGGATACGAAACCGTAAACCCCGATTAAAAGTCAACTGTCTATGCAAATTAGCCCCACAGCTTGGAACAGCGACAAAAAGTAGAAATAATTAACATCAACTTTAAGTTCATGTCTAAATTTGAGTATGCTTATATGCAGGTTCACATTATGCATGAATCAATTTTATATACTTCGAAGAATGAATACGTTTAGCTAAATTACTACGATATAATTCAAGTGACGAGATGTCTGAAATGTCCTAAGTAAGACAGTCAATCATATATCGCCATTATTGATAAAATCAGCTTTTAGCTTTTCCAAATTAATAAAGCACACATTCAAATATTTCATTTCAGTAGTTTAAGAATCCCTATTCAGTCATAAAACAATAGATGTATAGCGAACAATCACTCTCTTCAGTGATGTCATTCTCAAGCTGTACAATTATAACGGACACAACTTATCAAAACATTTTTGCCTTCAAAAATATTTTCATTCAGATCTCCTCACACATTACATTCATCCACTCCTATAATTCTAATTTCTCTTTACATTCACCGAGTTACACAATTTAACTTAGTAACCAAATATTAGTCCCGTCTTCTTCTCATTACTATTTTAAACATTACGTAATTCTCTCTTTTCCAATCTCCTGATTTATAATCAAATCTGAACTTCTGTTTATGGATATGCTTGTAAATCTCCGTTGTTTTATTGGATCGAATTGTTCGACCTCTATTGGCATATGGACTCCTATGCGGAGGCCTTAATATTGCTTGAATGTTAGTCATGGTAATTTATTTGACCTAGTGGACAACGCCTTTGAGTTTGAAGTGATGGGTACGAGGTTCGAGTCCCAGCGGAAACAACATCACTCACCGGGGTGCAGGTACATCCACCTGACGAGTCCCAAATAGGACGAAACGCAGATCCTGGATTTCTTTGCTAGCCACAACCAAGTAAATCACCATAATTAAGTCTGAACTTCGTTCAAAATATTTCATAAAATATTCCTTTTCTGTTACTATATAAATACAACAATCATATGCGATTGTACAGCTTGAGAAAGAAATCGTTGAAAACAGTGAATTCACTAAACGTCTTTTATTTTATTCCACTTCAGACAAAATAGGATAGCCATCAGAATGAGTAACAAAAATGTGCTTTATATTGATATTTTTTTGAATACAAACCAAACTAGAGACCTAAACATTCTTGTAAACATTAACAACTTCACGTGCTTTTATATTTTTTAATATAAAACATATATACGTACATGTCGAAGTTATAATTTAGACAGTGAAATATAAGCATTAAAGCCTACTTCCTTTACAGATTTCATACAATAATGAGAAATAGACAGACAAAATCAATGCATAACACCGTACAGAAATCCATCTGTTCAAGTTATTAAACTCCACAGTCATATGCAAAGAATAAGAAAAGTGTTATCGACGTAGACAACAGTGGGTTGGAGGAGAAAAAATTTGAAAAAGGAAGGTTGACGAAAATGATGAAAATTTCAAAGGCATCAAACAGTAACTACATCTGCGTAATTGTGATGAGTTTTCGGCTACCTCACCAAGAGTCTCCAACTAATGACTCCTAATATTTTAATCATGAAGTTCACATCTCCCTAAACGGCCCATATCTATAGTCGAAGACTTCATCGAGCGGTATGTTTCGTCCTGGTCACCCTGATCCTTCCTTCTGACCTAATCTTACTTAACCTAACACTGCATATCATGATAGGCAGCGGTTTGGCATGTCCAACACATGTCCAGTCCACTTCAGTCAGTGAAGATTTACAGCATCAAGCAATGAAAAGCACATGATAAATGTCTCGATAGCACTTCGTGTTATTTCTTTATCAACTTGGTCGTTACGATAATAGCAATCGAATAATATCGACTGAGATAAATTGTATCGGTAAATCCAGTAATTAAGTAAAAACAAAGCCGACTTTCTTATTAACCCGATACTCTAATAAATGCATATCCAGGAAGCCAATAAAACAATGATCATAAAGAATGCACATGCATAACCGACCACACAATCTATAAATGAGATTAAGTAGTTTACCACGAATGACACTCAGGGCATGAGAAATGATACCCTACAAAAATCACCTCGAGTAGAAACAAATTTGAATCCACAGTCCTGTAATTGGGATTATGTTTTATTCGTCACACGATATCCGTATGTGTCAGTGGGCTAAAATATACTTACTGATTAAATTCATCTATACTCAAATAAATAAACAATACAGCTAGTAAGAAATAAATGATACCTGATATCAGGTTTGTGTAATGAATAGAAAGAAGACAAATTACAAGTGAACATACTACACATAACTGAAAGAATTTCGCAGTGTATCTCCTCAAAAATTTAATTGTCAATAAACTACAATAAATTAAAGACACTCAAGTGTTGCCGTAATCTCATTTGTCTTTTATTGCATATTTTATGAACATCATCTTAGAAAATATAGAGGTAGAAAATAAGATATGTAGAATTCATTCTGTAACAAAAAAAAGAAATAGAATGACACATCAAACAAGTGTTATTACAAGTCTTAACAAAGACACGACTCAAAGCTAAAAAGGACTTCAGTACATTGAATATTTCCATTTAGAATGTTACACGGGTTAAGACAAGAATGTCAACAGTCCCTAAGAAACAAATCTTCTTGAAACTGAAATTTAAAAGTAACATTGCCAGTGAGATCATCACACAACGCATAAAAAGAGTCTTACATAAAGCATTTCCAGCCGCTAAATTATGTCCCATGTTCCACAACCGCACGATTCTAGGTGCAAGAAATAAAGACAAACTGCATGACTCTGCCACTTTCATGTGTATTTATCAATTCAACTGCTCCTGTGGAGCTAGTTACGTTGGGTATACAATGAGGCGGTCTCATCATCGAATTCCTGCGCACTACCTGTTCATGGTTGAGCAAGGGCAACATTAGAACAATAAAGAGCTCCATACTTGCACACCTAGTTGACATTGGACATCAAGCGAGGCTACTAGGAAAGCTTTCAAAATTATTCATCATATTCCAGTTAATTTACCACATGGATTACGCACTCACTTACTTCACATAGCAGAGGCGATTGGAATCCACCTTCGCAAACCTAGCCATTGTATTCAAAAGAAGTTTGTTCGACCACTTTCATTACCATGGTCGTCAACATGATGTGACTTGTAGTACCACTTTGTACTTGTTTCTGTCAATATTCATTTATTTTTCTACTATTACGTAATCACCTATCGTTTATGACTGAACACTCATCAAAAATCACTCTATTTACCTAAGAATAACCTGATTTAGAAAGCTATAGTTTCTATCAGGAGATAGTATAAACTATCGGTATATGGAAAGTCGAATCGAAATCCACTCAACAACGTTGTATACACTGGTGCAGTAGCTAATGAGCTACACCTAGTATGGGAAGGCTAATGATGCTAACTAGCTGCGCAAATCTCCGCAGGTGCAGCGGTGTTTAAAATCACAACCCACTGGTTGAAAGCCAACTTCTGAGACCAAATGAGCTACAAATCTACATACATGAGCATAGTATGGGGTAGACAAACAACTACTTATAAATGTGGGGTTGTATAACAGTTTTGTTGAGCTAATCAAGATTACAAAAATCTGTTTCAACTGTCGAACTGAAACCAAATGATTTTAAGGAGATAACGCTGGCCATAGTGTTTGAAAATTTCAATTTCGACCACTATAGAGCCAGGTTTCGAAGTGAACTAGGACACTAGAAGACAAAACGGTACAAAGTAACTGGTAAGAATGTACGATGCATGAAACTGTAGACAATTAAAAGCATACAACACTGACCATGTACCGTTTTGATAAGTGTGAAACCCCGTTAACCAAAAAAAACTGGTCAGGAATAATAACGTTGAAATACTGAGTGAAGTAAGCCATGGGAATGTGTTAAATATGCAAAAATAATAGAAAAAGTATCACTTAAAAACTAGAATGCTTCGACGCGAAAGGTTTAAGAATGGCGATCTCATTTCGACACAGAAACGCATCAAATATGCAGTGAAAAAAAGACAGTATCTCACTGTTTGAAAGTAAAAGAATAGTCGAAAGAACTAACATGATAGTCAAAACACTTCTCAAATCATTTGTTCAACATGAGATTCAGTAACTAAATTTAATACTGAATTCACTCTTACTCATGTGTCGTGAAAAAATATATGCGCATTAATTGGTAGAACATACGAAGTGCTATACTCAGGGAGACATGTGTTCCTTGCCTTCCTTTATCAAAGAACGTGATTCGAGTGCACAAGAGGTTCAAACAGATTAGTAGTTGGAAACAACACCCAATACAGTGAACAAAATTTACCGCAATGAGATGAATACACTCACTCTTTATCTCCTGCTAGATCTTGAATATCGTGATGTTATATATCTGCTTGTTCCTTTTACCTTCACGCCCTTCTGATTTTCTCTATTGTTGGCTCTACACATCTATCTCCCTTTACTTCTTGTTGATTACAATGACAATTATCATGCATGCCAGCTGCAATACTACAATGTTCGACTCACAACTGATAAATTACATGCAGCAGTAGGAAGAACGTCACCAAAAACATGGATCTGTTCTGTAACTGACGAATGTAACATTACGCTTCAGAGTGTATCTGCAGCTACTCCCAGAATGAGGCTACGAGGTGAAACGGTAAAATATGTTAAAAGCTTCACTCGAAGAATAATATCAACCTAAACGGCAAT